CAGGTAATGTGCCACTGGGGACCTCAGGATCAAATGAGCTTTTATATTTTTATGTAGAATGTAATCACTTTTTTCATTATTGTGGTTGCTACATTACTGTTATTAAAGAGTTTATTACTCTGTGGGGGATACTGCTCATTGGAATTACATGTTTGCAGACCAGCAGAGACAGTGTGGCTTCAAACCTTAATTCATGATGCAGCCACAGGACAACAGAACATCAGCACGCTGGGACTGGTGTGACATGCTGGGTACCCAGCACAATCCTGCTTGTACCAGGGAAAGTCACTGCTATATGGTCATCTGGTTTGAAGGCCTTTACTACATGCTGGGTTTCCAGCAGACTTCTAGGGAAACTGGCCAAAATAGAGCATGTAAGGAGCGGGCAAATTGGCCAAAAAAAAAGGCCAGATATTACAAGAAATGGAAAATTACCTAACAGGCCACTTATCCCTATTCAAACTTCAGAAAACCTTAGAACTTCTCCCTAGACTGTTACACAGCTATCATTTATTACCAAGGTGACCTTTATCCCCCTCTTGGCTTTCATGGGAATTATTTTTGAAGAGAGTAGTCAATTTATTAGAAGACCCACTCAAGCCCCACTTTAGAAGGATTCCCACTGATTTGTATTTCAGCAACCACCACAGTGAATATGACAGAGAAAAAGGGTGCCAGCTCCTGGAACATTCTGACTCCTCACACATTTAATATCTCTTCTTCTACCTCAGCTCCAGCCTGCACTCATGAGGACTGTAATTAAGGAGGGCTGCTCATTCCACTAGGTTTGAGTCTCTGTGCATCCCATAGCTTCCCAGACTAATCATACAGTTAAATGTACACATCCAAGAAAGCAAACATTATTACTGAAGTCTCCTCCTTGGGACTCCTGTGATGTTTAAGTATGGGTGGTGCTATTCCTCAGTGTTTCACTTGTTTTCAAGGGGGAAAGATATCTATATGATATGCTAACATTGGAATGCAAAACATCTAAAGACAAGTCTAATAAGTGTGTCCATATCATTACCTATTGCTTCACTGAGACAAGGAAGGAATCTCTTTGAGGAAGTGGGAAGGAATGTATTATAAAAGCCTCTTAAGAAAGGCAACTGATCCATACTGCCCAAAAAGGTTCTAGAAGCTGACAGAATAAATAGGTCTCTCTCCTTTATCTCAACAATAGAAACATCACCTTGCTCCATTTTCTGTGACAAACTGTCAAATAAATACCTGTCCTGAGTATAGGAGGTAATGACACCTCACTTCCACATACAGTGGCTCCTTTGATTCCATGGCATGGTGGAAACAGTGGGTCTGAGCATACAAAATCCATACATATTAGTATAACACAGGAAAATCCCAGAACATTTATATTCGTGAGAGTATTATCCACAATATCTGCTACTATCATTTATCAAATCTGTCTTCCAAAAAGTTGATATTAGATTTCATGCCAAGGAGAAATGATACCCAGGCTGGGATCACCAACTCTAGCGTGAAGTATTTACTGTCTATGACACAGGAACAGGACTTAAATTGCCATTTTCCCTTTCAATTAAACAAATCCAAGACCTGAAGAGCTTCCACAGTTGTCAGTGTAGGGATGAACTGCTTGGGTGAGGAGATACAAGCAGTACAAAGGTACAGATACATCACTGTAGCATCCCACTGAACACTAGGCTGAGAGTCCTGATAGTCTTGCCTTGAGAGGTGCCCACCCTCCTCCACTGGCAATTCCTGAGCAGCCAAGTTATTACCTTGAATAATAACCCCTTCACTGGTTAATATTCCACATCTTGCAGATACTCTGGATGATACAGAATGCTATGGCAGACATCACTGCTTGGGCAGAGGCTTTTGCAGGAGAAAGGGCCCTCAGAATGGGCACACAGGCATGAACCAAAGCACCTTCCAATAACCTGGACTACCACTGGCAGTAATATAAAATCAGCTGCTGCTGTGCTTTAACCACACACATTGTTTTGCTTCTAAGCAGGGACATAAGCAAGCAGATTCCCAATTCCACTGAGTTAAGGAGATTTACACTCACCCATAGCACACATGCACAAAATGAACTCTGCCTTTACACAGCCCCACAAGTGGGAGGCACTCCCCTGTCCTTGTACACCCATTCACACATCACACATCGTGTAAGCTCATAAACCATGTCACGCAGTAATGAGATCCAAGTAACGCACAATCTACAAAGTAGTAACATCTGTAGTTAGACTATTTAGCTTAAGTCACAAGGATTAACAGTCCCCATGGTTCCAGGAATACACTAATCACGTGCAGTGATCACAGAAGAATTGTGGTCATCTGGCACTGCCTGGCTGGCCAAGTGATTTTAATTTTCTTTTGGGATAGATACTGGATCTTACAGACCACTGGTCTGTTGCCTTCTAAAATGAAAGAATTCTACAGCCTCTGTATTATCTCTGTACCCTCATTATGTCCTTTTTTCATGTGTAAGAGGCAGGAAAGTAATGTTTTAATGTGAAAAATTTAGCATTTAAAAGAAAAAGCAAAAAGCAATTTCAAGACCAAGGAAAAGCTCTGGGACAGGGCTTTGGTCTTCATTTTAATGACTGTTCCACAACCTTGTATAACAAAATCCTATGAGTAGGAGATAACCTAACAAATCCAAGCATACTTTCAAATGCAGTGTTAGAAATAGATTACAAAATGTTTTCAAGTAGCTTTTAACAAAAAAAAAGAAAGAAAACCCAAAATCCTGAATAAGCAGGCTGTGATTCTCCTTTTTTTCTGCATATTCTGAAAGTTGATTAGAAATCTGATAATCAAACAGCACTTTTTAAACCCCTTGCTATCATCCTGTATTTCCAATAATGCATATATGTGTTCTGGAATGTAATAGATAGATTGGTTTTTACCATTTTTTTAAGGAACAAGAAGAAATGATAAGATTCTTTTCACTGGCTTCTACAGGGTTCCATAGATCACCCAAGAGAGCGCCACAGAAGAACAGCATTTCAATAATCCCCACTTTGAGTAATAGTTTGAACATAAAAGATTACTGTGCTGAAGGCAGCCAGTGGACATATTTCACACTATCACGGTAGCTTTCTTTCTTATCACTTTATTTCATGATATCATCTACCTTGGAAAAATAAGACTGTATGATATTTCTGTCTCCTGGAGTTGAGAGGAGCATAACGATTCTATCAGGTTTAATACATGACAGTACTCCTACATCACTTTTCAGTGGAAATGTAGAAAATCCAAGGGATGGATTTCAAGGAAACAAGCCTACATACAGTGTTTGTTCCGTGTATGTTTGACTTTCCCCTTTTCTGCAGGCTCCTGAACCCTGCTGGAGAACTCTGGCCTAACCCTTTCTGTGGAAAGAATAATCGTAAATCTGCATGAAGTTTATGATGATTAGTTTCTCTTGGAGCTGGGCCAAAGAATAAGCCTTTCTCCAATACAGACTTCACATGCAGGCTCTGTCAAGAATTCATTTATTAATCCTTTCGATCAAGCCTGGATTAAGCCATCCAGGGGCCCTAATGACATCAAGTAACTCTGTGCTTTGAGATCCACCTTGTAGTCAAAAACCTCCATAACAGCAAGGAGAGGTTACTCCTGAACACAACCCATGCTGCACCTTCACTGAATCCTCGAGTCCTCCTGGACACCTGTGTCAGATCATCTGTGTACAGATGATTTGCCCCCTTGCAAGCAAAAACAGGCTCAAATGTTTCATTTGAGAAGAACAGGACACACCACACAACTGTGCCACAGGCCAAGAGGTACAGGAATATTTGAGAGGTACAAAGTGTTGGAAAGGTCAGTGTAACCCAAGAGAGAAGATCAGCTCTAAGAAATCCAGTGGTCAACCTAAGACTTCCTTTACTCCCACCCTTTTATTCTAAAAGTACAGCCATGAAAAGATTTTAGCAGCCACTCAACGTGCAAAAATCTACAGACATACTTAGCCATACATAGCATTATTTTTGTATCAAAGGCAATCATACTTTGATTCAACTACTGCTTCCTATAAGCTGTTTTAAAACTCTGTCACTCCATTTCCTACGAGTTCAGCTGAAAATTGGTTTCTTTGGCTTTTAGCCCCTATGAGTTTCACAGTTTAAATTCTTTGTCTTTCTCTTTAAAATTCAGATTTGAAGGTTGATATTCTACTTCAGAAGCAAGATTAAGCTAAAAAACTAATTTCCACCTTCTTTTATCTATTTGGCTATTTCATTTCAAGAGAATTAGCAAGATTTTCCCGTTGCAAAACTCCCACCTGGTCTGACTTGCCTGCAAGGTTAGTGTCTCCTCTCAAATGCAGCTGAGTTCAAAGCCATCCCCCTCCCCTTTCCTACCACAGCCCCCTCTTCAATCCAAGCAAGATTTGTTGCAAACATTTCACAGAGCTCTAACGTTGTGTGAACTCTTGCAGAATTATTGTTGTTCCAGGAGTGTCCTGGGGGATTTTCAGAGCTGCTGTGAGACAGTGATATCCCTTGTGGAGGACTAATAGACTGTCACTGTTTCCACTGGGAACAATGAAGGTCAGACGTGCCAGGTAACCTGTGTTAACACGGAACTTCCTCGCTCTTCCCAGGAACAGCTCTGAAAATAACACCATGCTGAGATCCCCCTCCTTGCCATTTCATCGAGATCACATCGAATCAGCCCTAATAATGCAGTCTTTTTGCTTCAGCCCAGTCCCTGGTGAATCAACTCAATAACCCCACAGGGTCTGCTGCTCTGGTCGCTCTGTCAGGAAGTGTCAAAGGACAGAAAGGGAGATGCAGGGCGGGAGGAAAGGTTGCCTGCTCAAAGTGTCTGTCCCAGCAGCTCAGCCCTGAGCCCTTCTCTCATCCTGCAGCATTCCCCTACCACTCACTGTTTGAGCACTTGCTTTTATAACCTTAGCAACTAACCCATGTTCATTCATTTTAACCAATTGTTTGCCAAATCCTCTAAAAATTCGGATTTTGTGTGTGTGTGTGTGTGTGTTTGTTTTTTACCTTTCAAGCCACTTGGAGTTCTTCCAGAGGAAACAGACTGGGGATGTTCACAACATGGCAAAGGCTGGTGGATGAATTTTGCACTCTCTCTATTTTGAAACTGGGATTCTGCTGGGTCCTGCAGAACAGCAGCAGATTCAGGGGACACTCACCCAGGAGTCACTGCCATCCTTCCTCAACCAATACTCTGTAAAAGATAAAAGTTTGGTTGATAATATGCATACTTGCAGGTGATATCCAATGTTTTATTTTAACACATCTGTAAGCATCTTTCACTCCCCAATGCATTAATGGCCCAGTATTTTGTTATATTCTGAAAAACTACAGGGGTAAGTGTAAAGCAGGGCGGGAGAAAAGGGGGATCGAGAAGTTTTAACAGGAAAAACTGCAATTCATAAATATTATGACTACAAGGGAAAATGAACCACAGCTTGATCACTCAACAAGAATAGCAATTAGGAACAATTGTTGAATTTAGTTTAGGTATGCAGCATACGTAGGTAAATACACTGAATGCTAATGGTTTTATAATAGTCTTATTAATTCACACACATAGTTAATGTTTAAGATAAACTCCCCATCTTTAGAGTAATTTATGCATTCCACTTTTATAGAATTCCAATTGAATGAGTATGAACATAATCATTTTGCACAAATGTTCTCTAAGGAGTGTGCAGAGAGTCTGAGGCAATGCTGAGGCTCCCCACAGCTTTATTCATAATGGATCAGTCTATTCATTCCTTATTAATTTAATGGAGTACAACTGAGCAGTCTAGCAGCTTGAGCTTATGAGTGTTTCACAAATGGGGCTTTTTGCCTGTAATCGCTTAATCCTACTGGCTAGGCCTCATAAATTGAATAAAGGAGCGAACTAGGTTTTAATTAAGTCTAAGGAATGAGCTTGTCTGAAAGATACTTCAGCCTCTTAAGATCACAGTGGTGAAGTGTGTTTGTCCAGGAGCCTAGCAGGGGCAAGCATCCCGGGCTAGTCAGGTTAGAGACTGGTTTCTTTGATGTAAGGCATTTGTTAATACGTTTTTCCCTTTAATTAAAAATCTGTTCTCCACTGTCAGTACCATCCGAGAGCATAAGTGAGACAACTGCAGCAAACCTGACCAGGTCTGGAAAAGAAAGAGGTTTGGGGTTCATTCTTTCTAATTCCATAGGGCAGCTCGCAGAAAAAAGCAGAGATTGACACCAATATACATGAGGCCCTAACAGTTTCGAAGTGCTGTCCCTTGGGCCTCAGTGCCCCTGGTTAAATACAGCTCAGGCAGAACCCAGGAGGAAAAATGCAAAACTGTGAGTCAGGCCCTCATCCCTTTCAGGGGTCCTGTACTTTACCAAACTCCCACCTACCCACACGTGTCACCCCATGCCATGATTGATGTCTCCGTGCACATCCAATTACCAGCTCAGGAGGACTGATTTGGTACTGACTTCTTACTAAATCTGGGTAGGACAAGTGAACTAAAAATTTTTCCCTTAGAGGCCCACAGAAAGACTGCATCTCTTGCAAAATGTATCTGCAGCCACTTTCTTTTAAAATTCAACGGCTGGAGAAAGAGTTCTGTTCTAGATTTGTAAACCTGTCTCTTACCCAGGCTGGGAAAGAGGGGAATTCAAGTTCCTCTATACTTTTTTGCCAAACTACCTGTTGAGGATATATCCTGGGCAGCAAAGATTTCAAGATTCATGGTGATGTAAAATGCTTTCTCATGAATGCATTCCATTTTCTACTCTGGTGGGCTATCTGGAGTACATGCATTAGAGAAAGCAGAGATGCTTAGCACTGATCTCGGTGCCCTCCTCCCTCCCTGGACCAAGGCTGGAATATAAACTATACTGTGCACTCTCATAAAAACTGTTGGCTTGGTGAATCATCTTCTGAGATGCAGGATTTTCTCTTTGTGCGTGTAGATAAGGGACAACATTCTGGAGAATCCTAAAGCAAGGGTTCTGTTTGTTTGATTGTTTGTTTTTTAGTACATTGAATGGGGAGGATACACTGTTTCTGCTCTGATTTTACAGCTTACAGGTTTTACAGATACCTGGTTTTACAGGAGCCCAAAAGTGCTCAATTACCTGGCTGTGGTTTTCATACACTAGTGCAGCTGTACAGTGGAGTCCCAACAAAAATCAGAGTGCTTTTGCTGTCTGTACAAACCCATAACCAGAGAGAGGTCCTGACCCCAGACAATCTAAAGCAACCCACCTAAGGGCATCTAATCTCTTCTAAAGAGATTTGGCATTCATTCGTAATTTTCCTCCCATCTTTGAAAATCGGAATGTGAAAATGTAAGGCTGGTGAAAGGAAGGCTAATTTGCCTGGCTTCCTTCTTGTGGGTTTTACTGAATTATCCTGCTGCCCTTTAGTCATGTTTTGGTATTAACTTAGCTGCAGGCTTAAGTTATGCCAAAGGCAGGAAGGATATGAATTTTAATTAGGCACCCATCTCTCACTGAATTCTCCCAGGCTCCTTTGAAAATCCAGACCCTCGAGCTGTCATGTATGTGTGCGTGCTTGTTTCTGGGCATGTTGTATATATTTGTGCACACACGAATCTACATAAATAAATAAAGTGACATGATCAGATTTTTCAAAGGCACTCAATCTCGAGAAGCACCCCCCGTTGTTCTCAACAAGAGGTGGTGCATGCTGAGCTCTTGTTAAAAATTCAGCGCAGATCTCCGACCCCAGGGAAGGCTGAACTTTATACAGCCCAGGCCTGAGATGAACACACATGATTTCTGAACAAAATTAAGTTTTAATTGCTTTGATAGATGCGGGGATGGGCAAAACAACGTATCTTTCTCAATGGTTGGCTTTTTTGGTTCAAACCCACTCCTCCTGAGCGAGTGAGAGCGTTGGGCATCCTGCCAGCCTGAGTCTGGAGTCACAGCTCACAGGCTGTGACAGGCTGGAGCAGTGCAGGCACTCAGAAAGCCTGCTGTACATTTTCTATTCTGTTAAAATGGGGTGAAAAAGAAATAAAGCTAAACAAACACCAGAAGTGCATGTTAAAATGTAAATGCAAGACGTATTTATCTAAAGGGATATTGAGATTGCTTAATTATAGAACTTTAAAAAAAAAATAAATAAAATCCCTGGCTTTTTTCCTTTAAACAGCTTGTTTTCTGGGCAGAGCTAGAAAGGCAGGCAAGGTTCATCTTGGGGATGATGGAACTGTTGTGGTCAGCATTTTCAAAGCTGGTACCAATTCAGGATCTAAGACTATTTTGAGATTTGATTAAATTTTCTAAACTTCTGAAAAAAAATTTTTAATTATTCACTCAAGTAACTCTAAACAAGAGAACTCTAGCAAATGAATATGAAGGCTCCTAGATGTACTTCTGAGAGCATTTCTCATGGCAACTTGCTTGGGAGTGACGGGTTTGTTATTCAAGAGACAAGTTCCAGTGCATGTTAGTGAGTCACTTGTGACTGTCAGACTCCAGTGGCTGTTCAACTTCTTGGGTGCAGTTAATCTAGGGATGCTTCTTTGCACCAGCCAGGTCAACACCACCTACAGCTCAATTCCTCTGCCTACAACCAGCATCCTTCCCTTGCTTCCCATATTAAGTGTCTCAGGTCGATCAGTGTATAGAGAAAATATCCTACAGAGCTGCTGGAACATTCCCAAGTGTGGGAACTTTGTTTTGGAAGAGGTCACACTTATGCAAGTCAAAAGGATCCTTTTCTATCCTTATTTTCAGTGTGAGCAGTCAGGGAGCAATACTTTGGAAGTACTTTCTAAATAAGCAGAAAACTTCAGGTATTGTTAACTATCTCCTGAATAAATGCACACAGCACTCTAAAACAAACGCTTCTTAATCAAAGTACTAGTAATCTACTTTTTTAAATGGATAATTTTCTCATGTTTTAGACCAATGGAACTTAAAGGGAATAACATATAACAGTGTGCGACATTTTCCAAACTACTGCAATTTTTCAGGTGCCGCTAAAACAACTCTATTGACTGATTTATACTAATGACTTAAAAAAGATGCTGCAGGGCAAATCACACACTCTTAGTCAATTTACAACAGAGGTCATTCCATAAGTGACAAGGTGTGCACCTCCTTTTGAATAGCTGTCGGACCAAAAAGAAAACAAATACTGAACTCAGAGAAAATATATAGAAAATGTGGTTAAGTTAACACAGAATTCTCATGATGTTGTTAATTGCTAACATTAATGCATATCTCCTCTCTTTTTCATCATCCTGCAAAGAAGAAAGGCACAACAGGTATAAATATTAAATCTGCATAAGGAGTAGTCCTAAAGTGCTAATTGAAAAATATTCCTATGATTTCTGTGAACACTTAGGACTCATGGCAAGACAGGTACTAAGGCAGACAACTTCCCAGGAGCACCACGCATGTGAGGGAAGCACGTAGTGCCATCCCCTCCCATTCTGTGAATCGTGGGAGATATCCTGTAACACAAACAAGCAATCCAGATCCACAACAAATCTCTCCTACTCTCTGACATGATGTGCAGCAAGCTGGGATCACTCATTTGGAAAGGAGATGGAACAATTAACAGCCCACAGTGACAGGGTCAGGACAGAGTCCAGATGTTCATAAATGCGTTGGAATAAAATCTACTTTTCCGGGGGAAAAAAAACAAACAGGTGACCATTCTTACCTCTGTCACACGCCTGTTGAAATCATCAGGACAACAATGATGTGGCCCAGTGGGTTTGGGAAGGAGGCTGCAGCCCTGTCCAGCCACCAGGCTGGTTGTCAGGAATGGCTGGGCAATCCATGTGCAGGATCTCACACTGGTCACCAAGGTGCCCAATTTACTGAATGTAATCACAGGTTAGAAAATGGCCCAGCCAGGTGGGACAGAAGGGCTGACAGGCCAGTAGTCTTTTTCACGTCCCTACAATATGATAGACTATATATACAATCAAAATACAATTTGCATGAGTGTCAATGGTGAAAAATAGGATGCCAGCGTTGTCTACCACAACAGCTGTTCGGCATCTGAATGAAATACTGTATCCAGTATTCACCCATCTCATAACATCTTTTTTGTAAGCCTCAGAGGTCACCTAAATGCATTTATTGACTTCATTATTTTTATATAGGGAGAAAAAATTGATGGTGCTACAGAGCTGAGCAAATAACTCACAATAAAATCTTTATTCAATATATTTCATCTTTTTTTACTGTTCC